CCGGGGCCGCCGCCGCCGCTCCCGGGCCGGACCCGCGCGTCGCTGCTACGTCACATGCAGGGGGCGCTGCCGTCGCGCCGCGGCCGGTGACGTCACAAAGGCGCGCGCGCCGCGACCAGTAGGCGCCGCCGCCGCGGGCTCACCTCGGCGCCTCCCCACGTGACCGCGGCGGGCCTATCCCCGCCGCCTCGCCCCTCCCGCGCGGGCGCTCCCGGCAGGCTTTGCGTTTCGGCGGGCGGTACGGAAGATGGCGGCCCCCAGAGACGCTGTGTGGGAGGTGTAGGTCAGTGCCGGGAGCTGCGTTGAGATTCCTCGTTGTTTTGTTTCATCTGCGGATAAACAGTCTTGTGCAGCCTTTATGGTGACTTTCTTTAAGCGTGGGAAGTCAAATTTCTGGGTTTCGTTTTGTTTTCGGTCTTTTGCCGTTGGGCTCGGTGATCTTCAAGGTCTGTTCCAACCATAATGATTTCACGGTCCTTTTATCCGTGTATAAAGGAACGCTTCTTGCTGTGGTCATCACCTCAGGGAAGTGAAGGGAAACACTTATTTAGGCATCCTGTCGCATTTATCTTCCAACACTAACGCTTAAGAATCTGAGCTGGCCAAACTGGAAGCTAGATGCTGTTGTATTTAGTAGACTGTGCTGAAGAACCATAGTTATCAATTTAACCTGCTTTGGTTACTTAGTAAGGAAATAGCAAATCTTAAAAGAATAGTAATTGCTGCAGCCTGGTCTGTGTTGCTGCTGTTTTCAGGTGAAATTCTGACACTCGTGAGCTCATGGAGGCTGTGTGAGAGACCAGGCAAAATGGGCAAGGGATTCCCATAAAAGCTCGTGCAGCAGTGGCCGTGGAGCCTGCAGGAGCATCAGTGCTACCTGTGTGCACCCTGCTCTCTGAGGATGGTTCTTTCTGCCAGTTAAACTGGTGTGATTTGTGAAAAGTCAAACAAGTCCAAGGGTTTGGGCTGGGTAGACTAGAACCAGACTGACTAGCACCTGCTTTCTCACTAGAGAGAAGAAAGCATGAACAAAAACCCTGCTGCTCAGCGGAGCAACGCACATGATCCGCAACAGATGCCAACCCTGCATCCGTTGGGTTTTATTAGGGCTGGAATGTAGTGCTTGGAAAGCTGAAGGGAGGCAGCCTGACAGGGCCCAAATCCAACCCCGGGCACGTAGCTGGGGCGGGAGGCCGCTCCGTTCAGTCACGGAGCTGAAACAGCTCTCGGGCTTCAGTCGGCGTTTCCCTTTCCAGTTTGCTCCATGTTTTTCTCCAAAGAGAAACACAAGCTTAAAGGTGGGGGGCAGCTACAGCTAAATAAAACCAAGGGCTGTTGGCATGTTCCTGCTGGTGTTTATTAGCAGCATGGTGAGAGTGGAATTGCTTCAATGCACTTCTGTCTCATATCTCCACTGCGATCTATATGAATTCTTGTAAGTTAAAGAAGGATTTTTAAGTGTTACATGACATGTAAGCTGCGCTGTTTGGTCTGAAGGTGGCATTTCGTAGTCTGCTGTATATGATTGTTGCTGCATTTTCTCTTGTGCTGGGAATAAACCATATGTATTCTGTGTGTAATAAATGGATAAACACCAAATGCCAGTGTGTTTTGCTGCTGTAAATGAAACTTCTGCTTAGTCTGTGGCAGAAGTGGGGCTGCTAGTAGATTGGGAAGCCCAAACATCCACCTTTTATCAATCTTTTGGGAAAAGAGATAGAGTTGCTCCCTGAGGCAGACCAGGAGCTGGTCCTGCAAGGTACAAGTGCTTGACGACTGCAATCTACAGCACCTCCTAAATAACATGTGGAAAGGATAACCCGTTCGGCTCTGTGTAACAGCAGCTTCTTTATGAAACTCCCTTCAGGGCGGATATTAAGGCCCCTGTCCAAGAATTAACACATCAGTGGCAGGTTTCAGAGCAGCTGCCCTGTCTCCTGTCAGTTACAGGGTGGAACCTGACAGTCTGCTAAGAGTCAAGGCATTCCTGCCTCTAAAAGCCTGGGTTCTTTGTGTTTTTTGCTCCTTGTGGTCCCAGGAGTTGAATTTAATGAACTTGAGGAATCAATGTAGCAATAATAAATAAGAGGCAACAAAATAGCAAAGTAGTTGAAAACTATACAAGGCTATAAATATTGCCTGTGCCAATTACTAGCTGTTAATTGTTAAAATAAATTACATCGAGTAGGTTCTTTTACTTTCCTAAATGAATTTAATGTCTTGACAAACTGTAGCTGTTTGCTCATTAGCTGCATTGCCAGTGCCTCTCTAGGGTGCTGAGGTAAAATTGCAAGTAGCAGCGTAATTCAGCATTAGTAAAATGCCATTTGGTGGTGCAGGGACTTTGCAAACAGGGGGCTTGATTCACGTGCTTTTCAGCACTGCGGTGAATGCACCCGCTCATCCGCCACCACCCCCTCCTGCGCGAAATAACCAGCGGCAGAGAAAACACAACTGTCCAAAGTTTATTGTAAAAAAATTCCAATGTGACTGTTAAGGAGGCAAGTGGAATCTGTAACGTAGCTGTAAAGCTCTTGGCAGGGCCCTGGGGCAGAAGCACTGGCTGCCAGGGGCTGCAGAGCTGCACTTGCCAAAGAGAATCAGCCTGGTGAAAACTGGCACCTGAGGAAGACGGCCAGTTCCCAGCCCTGCCTGTCCTCACATCCTTGGGAGCTGTTCCTGTGCCTATGGGCACCACACTCACACAGGAGAGGCTCCGTGCCCTCTTCGACCTCTCCCAGCACGGGTGAGTTTAGGTTCAGGATTTTTAAATTGATTTTCCTCAGGAGACTTCTCTGGCGTTTTTGGTGTGGAGGGAGGGCACAGCAGAGGCCGCGCTGTCCCTTTTACAGATGAGCTGCTGGAGGTAATCATTAATGTTGTCTTTCAGATAACCAGTTAAACATTGTTAAAGACCCAGGATTTTAACACAGAAGCTTGACAGTCTACTGAGAATGTAACATTGTGTATGTTCAGGGTACAGGATTCAGCTACAAACCAGACTTGTGGTTTTTCCAAAGTGATTCCTAAAAGGGAATCTCTACAATCAAATAAAAAAGAACTCCCATGATCTCACAGCCTGCACTGTGCAGGACAGAGGTCTAAGCAGTCCTATTAATTTCTTCTGAGCCCAAAACTTGGAATCCTTTCCTACGTCACTCCTCCCCTTCTGCTCCGCACGATGCTGCTGTTTCATTGTTCCATCAGTCACGTTAGAACAGACTGATTGTACCAAGTGAGGTACACTCACAGAGCCTACACAGCCCAGCTGTAGAGGCCTATGGAAAAACAGAGCAGACCTAGACAAGCCTCCTCCCCACTCCCAACACACAGAGCCCAGGGATTCGTCGAGTCGGAGGCAGCATTTGTACGTTTAGCAGCATTTAGTGGATTTTGCTTTCATGAATTCCCTAAATTTAGCGAATTTTCCTTTCATGAATTCCCTAAATTCATGAAAGCCGGGTAAAGTGCCACCAGTCTTCATAGAGGACTCCCACTCCCTCCCACTGCAGCCTTCTACCAGGAGGATTTCTCCTATCCTTCATTTCCTATCTTGGAAACAATTTTTCTCTTTTCAACCCACAGAGGAACCTCCCCCCGTATTCTATAGCAGCTTAACTCTAAAATTTGGTGAGAAACAACCTCCTTTGGTGAGGAACCTTGCAGCAATACACATAGATGATGCTGACCGGATGACTCCTCCCCAGTGATCAGAGCACCTTTCCTAGCAGTTAGCAGCACAGTTTTGCTTTCCTTCCGTAAATCACCTTTAGTGACTTGGGATTTTAGGATGCTACAGCAAACAGAAGAGCAATACTAATTACTTACTACAGCAGATGAGAAAAAGGAATAGCTACTAGTGCAAGGAGCTGAACTGCAAAGTTAAAAATCACAGAACAGCTCCCATGACCCCTCCACGCACATCCAAAACAGAACCCCCCAACAGAACATGATGCTGCAGCAGAACCCACAGCCAGCCCAGCAGGCTGAAATGAAATGGATGGAAATGCATCGTGCCCGAGTGAGGGAGCCCTGCTTCCCTCGGGCTGCTCCGATGGCTCCGAGATGCAGCACTCAGCTGTAGATCCAGTGCTCAGCCGCATCCTCCCAGCAAACCAGCTCCTCTGGGCGGAACCACAGCGCGATCTCCTGGCGGGCGCTCTCAACCGAGTCGCTGCCGTGGATCACATTTCTGCAGGAAGAGGAAAGGGATCCATCTGTGCTCAGCAGAGAATAGAGGGAAGGCACCTGCAGCTGGGAAAGTCTCATGCTTATGTCATTCAAGCTTTCCCTTCAGATTTTGCCCCCCCTCCCTCTGTCAAAGCGGGTGCTGTGAAGCAGCTTTGGGCACCAGGCTCCGAGGAACAGAAGCTGGACCCAAGAAAGGATTTGGATAAAGGCTTTGCCTATCCCCAGCTAGGCTCAGCTACAGCCACCAGAGGTCACTGGTGAAACCCTAGAGCTCGTGGGTATCCTCTGTGCAAGTCCCGCTTGGTTTTCAATGCCAGTTTGGTTTAAGGTGCTGTGGATTCTGCAGAGCTCTGCAAAGTGCCCTGCTCCTTCTGGATAGGGCCCTCTCCTCCCTTCCTCCTTAAAGCCTGACAGAGCCCAACTGCCTGGAGCACAAGTCAAGCAAAAACCTCCTACCAGACAGTCAGATATAGCAGATTAGATAGAAAAGGCCTCAGAAAGCAAGTTGGGCTCAAACCCAGGCTAGTTCCAAGCTCAGGAGGCCGAGCAAACTGCACAAGGGCCCCCGTTAGGATTTCCTGGGCAAGCCTTGCGTCGGACAGCGCGGCCGGCGCTCCTGATCCGCCCGGGACCACGAAGCCAAGGCTCTCACTTGGTGACGTCAGTGCAGAAGTCTCCTCGGATGGTGCCGGGTCTGGAGTCAGCCGGGTTGGTCTCCCCGATCATGGTGCGGACCGTCTTGACCACATCCAGGCCCTGCCAGACCTAGGGGAGAGCAAACCCGGAGCCAGCCCCGGGAGCCCAGCTCGCATCCTCTGTATCCCCTACGTGACCCAGCCCAGGGGTAGGCAGGGCAGAAGCGCTGCAAAAAGCACCCCAAAAGAGGTGATTCTGCAAACTAACCCAAATCGGGGGTGCATGTAGCTCCCTGCAGCGAGACACCCCTCACTGCAGAGGAGCCTCCGTGATGCCCGGCAGCCCCTTCCCAGCAGGGTCACACTCACCATGGCCACCACGGGCCCGGAGCTCATGTACTTGAGCAGCTGCCGGTAGAAGGGCCGCTCGCGCAGGGCCCCGTAGTGCTCGCGCAGCAGCTCCTCGGAGGCCTGCGGGGCAAGAGCGCCGCGCTCGGGGCCGCCCGGGCGGCTCCCGCGCCAGCCCCGCGGCCGCCCCTCACCTGCACCAGCTTCATGCCCACCAGCGTGAGCCCCCGCCGCTCGAAGCGCCGCACGAGCTCCCCGACCAGCCGCCGCTGCACGCCGTCCGGCTTCACGGCCACGAACGTGCGCTCGCTGGCGCCGCGGGCTGCGGGGGGACGGCGGCGTCAAGGACGGAGGGGAGCACGCGGGACCGAGATACCCCCCGCCATGTCCCGGTGTCCCCCCCGCCGCACCGCTCTGCAGCACGAAGGCGAACAGCGCTAGCGCGAGGCAGATCATGGCTGCGCCGCCGCTGCTGCTGCAGCTGCCGCCCTCCGGAGCCGCCGGGCGGGGCGGCCGCCCCTTCCCGCCCACCCTCGGCGCCGCATGGCGGCGCCCGCCCCTGCCGTCATGACATGGCGACGCCCGCCCCTTCCCGCCCGCCGCCGTCGCGACATGGCGGCGCCCGCCCCTTCCCGCCCGCCGCCGTCGCGACATGGCGGCGCCCGCTCCTGCCCGCGCGGCGGCGCCCCTCGCAGGTCACACGGCGTGAGGGAGCCCGTGAGAGGGGCCACAGCCGCGGGCAGTGATGGATCCCTAAGGCCGACATCCCTTTAAAAACCCCTGCGGGACGGGCTGCTTCCCTCCTGCCTCGGATGCCCTTTCTGTCCTTATCACCTTTCCTTTTATTTTGCTTTTCCGTGCTCATGGTGTCCGTAAAACACTGCTCACCTGTGGCTGAGCTGTACAGAAAAGGCTCCTATGGGTGAACCCTTGTGTGCGGTGGATGTTCTGCTGGGGAGAGACTTGGAACAAGCAGAATCCTCACGTGTTCTTCACTCTGGCTTGCCATGGGATTGCACCGGGCTAGCAGACGTGGAGGCAGGGTTTTGATCCCCCTGTTTGCAAGACTCTGGTTCAGATCTAATCAGGCCTTTGCTTGTGAGTGAAGCCCCCCCAGAACTGCCCCATTAGGTGTAAAAGGGGCTGTGGGCTGCGGCCTCAGCGGTGTCTGTCCGGCAAAGCCTGTGCCCCACAGCAGAGCAGGGCTGCTCCTAGGGATGCTCCAGCAGGCACAAACTAGGTCAAAGACGATCTAAACGCGCGCTTGATATCCCTTGAACTAAATTCCTACCCTGTTGACAGAGCAGGGCCCAAAGAGGGTTATGACTCCCTGGCTTACTGGGCGCTAAGAAGGATGAGCAGGCTTTACTGCTGTGCTGTGTAAACAGAGCTAATGCGGGGAGTCCAGCCTGCTGCTTCCAGCACCGCTTCCCTGCTCAGGGATGTGCTCTTCCCATGTGCTTTCCTTGCTCCTCCGCCCTGCTGCCCTTGGAGGTCGGGGCTGGCACCAGCACCAGAAGTTTAAGGGGTTGGAGGTGGCTGGAGGAAGGTGAGGGCCTTGGGGTGGTCACAGCTGGCCCCTGTGAGCTCGTCCTTGTCCTATGTGGAGTGTCCCCTGTAGGCACTGGGGGTGCTCGGCTGTGTGGGACATTCAGATGCTTTCTGCAGCCTCTTGCCTCTCCTCTCCCCTTTTAGCCCCCCAGTTTTAAGTCCCTCTGGCTGTAGCACAGTGGAAAAGCTGTCGGCTAAGAGAGTGAAGCAATGTTTGGAACAGGAACTGGATGGGAAAGTGTTAGTGAGCTGAGACAGCTGCGTTGTAAGTCTGCCCTGCACTGCTTTTTGGGTATATTATTGAGATGAATATTTTCTGCAGCGTCCTGATTTCTGATGTCCTTCTCCTCACTGTGTTTTTGGTGAGGCTGCATCTGTTACTGTAGATCCTGCTTATGGCTTCCTTGGGCAGGTAGGTCCTGCTGGAGTTGCCTGGAAAAATGTTCACTGACAGTCAAAATTAGGTGGTCATGGATGAACCACATCATAGAGTAACAAAGTGCAGCTCAGTGCCTTCCACACTGACTTAGAAACCCGCCGAATTTCCTCCCAAGAGTGACAGCACCCTGGCTCAAAGCAACATCACTGCTATTGCAAGAGTGGAATCACAGCCTCACAAGATAGTTCCTCCTTCCCGGTGATCTTCTTGTCTCCATTTAACACTTGAATTAGTTCCAGAGATGTCCAGCACGGCTGTTTCTCCAGCTGGAGCACCACTACAGACGGACTGAGGGAGCTCTGCTGCTCCAAGGTTCTCATTCGATGTCTGTAACCAGAGGAACAAGCTCGATCTCCTCTCCAAGATTCATCATGTGGGAAGGACAGGCACAGAACAAATGCACGTTGCGTGGAGTGCTCTATAGGAGCAGGTCTCACGTAAAGGCCCATGAGAAAAGGCAGCAGCCAGGTACTTCACACTTCATGCAGGTGGTAGGAGGAAATCCAGGTTAAAAGGCATTTCCTGGGACATTTATCTCAATGTTTTGCCATGGTTCAACAATTTTCACTTTGCCCATCCCATTGGTTTACACCTAAATCATTTGTAAACGCTGTCCGCGAGAGAGGCGAATTCAAAGAACAGTAAAAAGCAAGGGGAGCAGAAATCCTGCACTAAAGCAGGGCCCTGCAGCGAGTGGCCAGGAAGCAGTGGGAAGCAGAGGCCACCAGCACTGCTGGAGTCTTGGACTGTGTGCAAATAGAGGGCACCCGGTGCTGTGTCCCCTAAGGCAGCCCCATCCCTGCCCTACCCAGCACTTCCCCCCCTCGCAGCAGCGCTAGCTGCCACCCAGGAGTATAAATAGGAGGAGGCTGAACTGCCAAACGCGGCCATTTAAGTGGCCTTCCAGCTAGATCAGCCCTAGGATCTCTCCCCTGAGCCCATCCATCCTGGCACCATGACAGCCCAGACAGTTAAAACTACTTACGAACGTGATTCGTGCTCTTGCTGCTCAGTTTGTTCCCAGACAATACCTATGCCCTGACTGTTAGGAGCAGCTAAAGCACTTTTGCCTCATCTTTCCTACCTAATATCTTAAGGTAGATCAAATGCAAAAATGCAGGAAGCCTTTTCCAGGTGTGATTTGCTGGCAGCAATAACAGGCCACTGCTGAATTACTCTGACTAAAGCTCCAGGCCCAATTCCAGCATTTCTTCTCAGCACGTACGAGAGAAAAGGGGCCTGCCCCAGAGGCAGCACACAAATGTGTTACTGGCCATTCTGCAGAGAAGCTGCAGTGGTTTGCAGTCTGAGGTGTGGGGTTTTGGGGTTGCTTAACCAGGAGTGTAACCTGTTATGAGATACCACTTATAAAACGCTGCAGTACTTCAGCTTCCCTTCGTGTTTGCAGCCCTAGGTGCCAGTCTGGCTTTGCCAGAGATCAATCCAGGTCAAACTCTGGTTTCAGAGGAAAAATGCAAGAAGCCTGGAGGGAGAAGAGGCAAAAAAAATCTCCATTTCCTTTATCTCCGCTAGATCTGACAAACAAATATTACATTTAAAACAGCGCCTCCGGTCTGTGAGCTGTGCTAGTGTGGCTATTTTTGACAACCACATTCAGATTCATGCCTTCAAAGAGCCTAAGAGGAATGAAGGACAGTTTGTACTTTTATTATTACAGTTTAATACAGTCTTTGATACAGGAGAAGCAGCAGTAGCCGACATGCAAAGCAATTAAAGTCATCAGAGGCTCAAGAAAGATCACTAAGAGCTCACCGCTCGTAAGGAACTGCTCTTTCCCTGCAGTACCAATGGTCACATAGCACAGATGCATCTTTAGGAGCCCATTTCCCTACGTGCTGCCCTTCAACCACGCCCCACCACCACTGTGAAGAATTTATTGCAAATCCCAAACCAACAGATGACACTTAGAAGGAGGGAGACGTCGTTTTGACTTCTGTCTTTTGAGAAGTCCGTTATTTGATTACAGTTCGCTAAAAGTGTGCTTAAATTTTAAGTCTTGTCTCTGCTGAACAGTCTACAGAGAAGAATGATTCTTCCTGAAGAGGCGATGATTTTGATATCAAGGCAGGAGATTAAGCTCAGACATTTGGCTGCGGTTTATCTGTTCCACAGAGATGGGACCTCTTCGAGTCTATAGGTATCTTCAATACAAGTGATGGATGTTTAGCATAAAGATTTCAAAGAGCATTAAGAGAAATCTTTGCGAACAAGTAGAAACTCACGTCCCCGTGAAGAAAGAGGTGCATCAGGCCTGGACTCTGCCCTTGCAGGCAGCAGAACATAACCCCATCCGACCCCTTCAAGGCAGTTTGTCTGAGGAGACTTCACGTCCTCCTGCACCTCTTCCTTTGGCAGGCCTCTGCATCTGAGCCACACGAGCTGTCCGAGTCGCTTCCCGACGAGGAGGAGGAAGGCTTCGACATGCTATAGTTCATGCTCAGGACCCACCCGAGTTTGTTATGTAGCACTTGCTTGAGTCCTGGTGGCAAGGGCAGCACCTCCAGTGTGTCCACGTAGTTGGGCAGGAGCTGGCGCAGGCGGTAGCAGCAGAGGTACTGCAGGGACGTGCAGCTGGCGCAGGAGCGGATCACCTTCATGCTGCTCTTGGCCGCTGTCGAGCACACCATGGGGTAGAACTTCTTGTTCTGCAGCTTGGTAGCTGCAACTCCTGCCAGGGGACAGCAGCAATGAGGGTTCATGTTAGTTTGAACTAGGCACCTTCTCCCAAATGTGTTAACTACAAAGCTGTCAGGAAACACCTGGAAACTGGCCTTTCGAAATCCAATCTATTTAGTTACAAACGTAACTTTCCTCCCCTCACTTCATGCCTTGATTCTTCTCCTGTTTTGCCCGTATTTTCTCCTGCAGTCCAGCTGCAGCCAGACTTGCAGCTCAGCTACCCGTGCTGGGTTTAGCTTCCCTCCATTTCCATCCCTATGCCCGAGGCTGGTGGGGCTGCCCCTGCTCTTACCTATGCACTTGCGGTTTTTGAAGAAGGTGAGCGTCCCATGCCACGTGTCCAGGTGCACCCCAATGATGGAGCCTTGGCCAAACCTCGAGGAGAAGTTTGTCTTGTCTCCCTTGTGATGCAACAGTCCTTAAAACAATAAAACTTACGTTCAGTAGAAGGCCTGCGTTCCACAAATTTATCCCAACCTCCATATGTGTAACCGCAAGCTCCCAACTGCTACCCACTTAGCCACTGGACAAAAACCTATTAGTTTCTTCATCACTCGTTCACTCTTCTCACATCCCAGAGTGTGGGGTGAAAACAGGAGGGGATATTGAGGCTTTGGCACATCAGCTATGGGCAGTGACCTAAAAAGCCCTGGATCGGTGCCATGAAACCTGCAGTCCAGAATCCCTGGAGTCACGCACCAGTTCTAAGGGTTTACAAAAGGCAGGTAAGAGCCAGCTTGTATTTGCTGTAGACAGCTGGCTCGGGGAGGGAGCTCGGGCCTCTGGGAGTGCCCAAGTCTGAAGGGCACCGTTCCACATCACCAGCTGGAAGTGCAGGCGGTTGGTTCTTCCCTGGGTCAGTACAAACAAGGAGGCAAAGGAGGCCTGGGGCAGGGTGAATCCCTCTGGGTCCTCCGCAGAGGTGCTGCTTTGAGCAGAGAAGCACAACGAGGTGACAGACCCCGGGAGCTGACAGCAGCCCGTCCTACCCAGCTGCCAAGGGAATGCCTGGCACAGTACCAGGGCACGCACAACGCCAAGGCAGACTCGCTGGGTGGGCAGTAGGCCTGCTGAGAGGAAGAGCCCACCGTGTGCAGTTCAAACACATACAGAACCAGTCGCAGGCAGCAGCTCCAGTTCTACTTGGCAAAGAGACTGAGTTCTGGAAGCCACTTTGCCTCAAGGCCAGTACAGAGCATTTCATTCTCAAACTCCGGGGAAAATCCTTAGGTCTCTGCTGGCCTTTCACCCCCCCTGTCCTTTGACACTGCCCTGCCTGGGTTACCTGTGTAGGAGAGTCCCCAGCTGTCTTCATCCTTGCCCAGCAGACTGCAGAAAGTGTGCCGGTACTTGTCCAGATTCACATCCGACGTGCCAATTCCCACCATCTGGAGCGAGGCAGGTTGCAGGAAGAAAAACACAAGCTCTTAGTCTCTACTGGGGGCATCAAACACTCTTAAAGCAACAAAATATCATGAAATTCTACTTCTGGGACTCCCATCCTTTTCTTGGCCCAGTCCACCAGGGGAGAGGCTTTGGTGAAGCTATGTCAGATGTTCCAGAACCATGAGGGTTTGCCCTGCACCAGGAGTGCTCAGCAGCAGGGCTGGGGAGGGGGGCATCCTGAGCAGAGCTGGGGGCTAACAGAGCTGTGGCCTCTGCAGCAGAGCACAAGATCCATGTGAACTGCTGGGTGAGGCTTGCTTTCAGGCTAAAGAACTCCAGCAAATCTGTTAGTTCGACATACCATGTCCGTGCCATAGACTGGGGAGGTCATCTTGATCTCCCAGAAGTGCTGCCCATCTGCCAGCTCCTTGTTGCCCCGGATGGCAGCCGTGCCGCAGCTGTACTCCATGTGGAAGTTCACCTTGCGGTTGTCACAGGTCAGCAGCGTGGCCGTCGACTTGTTCAGGTCGTCCCACACCCAGTCAAAATCTGCTCAGGAAACAGGCGGGGGCAAACGTGGCAGAAAGCACTTGGGGAGCCACCAGCAAGCCGATACACAGAGTCAACTGTTTTGGGGGCCAATCAAAACTCTTTTTTATTTTTATTAACTGTTTAGGAGGGTCAATCCTGAGCTGTACCAGCTGGACAGTTACTGGAGGCCTGAATTATTCTGCAGCGTCCCACCAGGGAGGGTTCAGCTGGGCTCTGGTGAGATTAAAGGCAACACAGAGTGAGGTGGAGCCCTGAGTTTCCCTGGAGAGAATCATGCTCATCCCTTGTAGGTTCCAGGGTAAAGGCAAAGCACAAGAAACACCATGTAGCTCCCCTATCTTATGTGTTCTCTTGCATGTCCAACCATGTCTGACCACGCTCCCCAGACAGGCCAGGTCCATGCTCTGTCTGGCCTTCTCCGAGCAGGCCCTGCCATGTAGCTGGGCACCCTGCCAGCTGCACCAGGGAGCAGCAGCAACAGGGCTACAACCACAGGGGCCCTTTTCACTTTGACTGGAGCTAGATTTGAAAACAGGTCTCCCGAGGTGAACTCTGATTCACTGGCAGGTTCAGCCCTGAGCCCTTGAATCATGACAGTGCAAGCAGTCATGACCCTTCCCAAGACCATGGGATGGTCTTGGAGCAGTCACGACCCTTCTGAGCATCTTTGAGAGGTAAACAAAGGGGCACCATATGCAACAAAGGGAATAAGGATCCCCGAGCAATACCAGGCATCTCTATGGGCTCGGGGAGATGGTTTGTGCTACCGCTCAGCCAGGAGGAGCGCGAGCAGGACTGCACCCACCACGATCCCCCAAGGCAGATGAGGGGCAGCTCAGGAGCCCCCTCACTTACACTCGTCCTCCTCGCCGCACTGGCAGTCCTTGACGCGGTGGATGGCGTGCAGGCTGGAGCAGTAGGGAGCCTCGCTCTGGTTCTCGCAGTTGCAGTAGGATTCTCCGGTCACGGGGATGGCGCTTGGGATGGAGGGCGAGAGGGAAGAAAATTCCGGCTCTGAATCGGAGTCACTGTGCTGCCGGGGAGAGCGGGGAACAGTCACAGAATCGTTAGGGCTGGAAAAGACCTGCAAGATCACGGAGCCCAGCAGCTACTCAACACCTCCGTGGTCAGAGCACTGGACGTGCAGCCAGCAGATGCACCCCGGCCAGGCTGCTGCCAAGCACAAGCAGCGCAGAGCCCACGACATCCCCACGCTCCGCAGCTCCGCTCGTGCCCAGCAAGGGGCTGTGCCAGAGGGAACACCCCACACCACGGAGCTGGCCTGTGCATGGCCACGCTGCAGAACCCGCCTCCGAACCAGAGAGCATCTCGTGGAAGCAGGTCCCAGGGGATGGGGACATGCTCCTTGTGCCCCTGGAGCGGGGAGCAGCGGGTGGGCTCTGAGCAGTGCAGGTCTCTGGTGCACGTGTTCAGGGAACCTCTGCAGCAGAGCCACGGTTTTCACTGTGCATGTTAGAAGCTCTCGGGAGGGCTCGAGGCCACGTCCAAGCCATCCCAGATAAAGCCCATCCACGCCGCAYGTGGAACCCATACAAAGGGCTGTGCCCCTGCTGCAAGCCAGAGAGCCACACAGCCAAAAACCTCCACTCCAGAGAGACCGAGAGCTGCAGGATAAGAGAGAGAAACGGGATAAGAGGGAGAGAAAGGAGGCAGGGGAGCTGGCAGCACAGAGCAGAAGCGGCGGCACAGGATGCTGCGGCTCCGCACGGCAGCCCACACCRCACATAGCGAGTCCCCTGAAGCATTAGAAGGCTTTTGTTGCATTTCATGCACAAACACAAAGAATTGCTCTTCCCCAATGCCAGGAGACTGAAGCGTCTCCGCACCGGACACTGCAAATGCTCTGTGCCACCCCTTGTGTTACAGGAGCTTTGGTGTCACCCGATGGAGTCTCTCACCACAGACCACAATGAGCTGCCCCGGGTCAGATACACCCGCTCGTTACCCACCCCGGTGCCCCCAGCAGATTCTGTGATCGCTATTTAAGGACAAAACCCCTTCAAAGGTGTGTTTCTTTAGCTGTATAAGCAGGACTTGAGAAGACTGAGACTTACTTATCTCCTGCCAGCCCTGCTCCTGTTCTAAATCCGCCCTGTGCACTAGGAAGCTCCACTCCTGTCACTGCCCCTCCACACCCTGCAGGCATCTGCCAGCTCCTGCTGCTGCAGAAGAGCAGAGAACAGGCTCCCGAGTGCTACATACAGGTTTGGACACAGCCCTCGTAACCTTACAGCTTTAGAACCTTATAACGCTACAGCTTTAAGCATCAGGAGCAGTTCCTGSCGTTCCCAGCACCAACACACTGCCTGGGGACGGAACTCATGCACTTAAGGCCAGGGAAAAGGGTGAAAGGGGCAGCCGTGAGTCTAACTCACTCCTTCTCGCACTGTTTTCCTGGCTGCTTTTTCCTGCTGTATTCCCATTTTCCAGCACACCTGCACCCTGGGGCCACATTCACAAGTGATACRCACATTACAGATTGGTAGGCACGAGAGAATTTAAATTAAAAGGTATTAAGATAGGAACTGAACACAAAACACTCCAGAAGACACCAGTTGCATAAGGAGAAGAATTAGCGTGGCCAAACAGCAAGCCAGACGGGAGAATTGATCAAGTTTAGAGCTGCTTAAAAACACCTGCTTAAAGTTAAGACCCCTGTTTAGAAGGTACAGACCAGAGATATCTCATAAGCCAAAGACAGGCACTTTATACACTGAGAAGAGGGGGTATTTGGCGTCGCTCCAGTGAATTCCCTGGCCCCGGCGGGCGGCGGTGCCCACCGGGACGGGCCGTAAGCAGCTTAGCCGGCCCCTGCCCTCAGCAGGACGCGGGGCTGGACCGGGAGCAGCCTGCGCGCTCGCCGAGCGCCCCGCACGAGCCGCCCCCCGTTACTCACCTGCCCGTCCGAGTCGTAGCCCCAGGCGCGGGCGGCGCCGGGCAGCGGCAGCGCGCGGGGGTCGGCGTCGCGGCGCACGCCGCGTAGGCTGCGGGGCGAGGGGGACGCGGTTACTCAGCGCACCGGCGGCCGCCTCCCGCCGCCGGCATCGCCGCTCCTCGGCCGGCCCCGAGCCACCTCCGCTGCGAGCCGGGAGCTCCGCGA